AGGGGGAATCCTTTTTTTTTTTTGGAACCCTGCAGTACCCGGAATGGGGACCCTATTATCATAGTACCCAAAAGGAAGCAAAACAGCACTTCTCCTCCAACCCTCTTAAAACCGTTTCGCGAGCCCCAAGGCTGATGCACAAATCCTCCAGAGGAGGCTTTGGAGCAACAGCGCCCTGGGCTGCAGCTTAAAACAAACAAAGGCTTCCTTCAAGGCTTCCCGCCAGGCTTCGTGTGGCCTTCTAGAGGGGTTCAGGGTAGCGGATTTGGGGTGGGAGGCACTTTGGATTGATGGCTGAGGCTTGAAAGAATGTCTGCGTTTTGGCTTTAGGGGTTAGGGGCTTGAGCTTTTTGGAGGGCTGGCCCCAAACTCTGTAGGCTGGCAGGATATAAAAGTAAGTTCACGGGACTCTGTGAGTTTTTCACCGGACATTCAGGGAACAGGGCATGTCCTGAACGATCTCATGCGCGCATTTGCCGCCAGTTTGTAAAAGAACGATTGCAGACCCAACACAGAGTAAACTCGACGTAAGCCTGAAAGCCCAAAAGAAGTACAGGGGGAATGCTACCGCTAGGGGTAGTAATTGCGACATACAGGAAAATGATCAGGCTGCAACGAGTTGGGAAGGAGCAGAAATGCACAAAAAAATAACTCGAAAGCCTCAGACCGCGAACACTTAAACCCTAAACCGCCTTATACGACCTCAGTTACATCCCGAAGCGGTTGAATCCGTGTGCTCCAGCCCAAACTGTAAGCCCTTACGCTAGAAACCCTTCATCGTATAGGTCTATTCCCTGTACAAGCTTCAAAGAGAGAGCCTATGTAATTTGTGAGGTTGACCGTCAACATGACTGTTTGTGAACCACCGTTTTCGTGCCAACTGTTCTGAACTCAACCCTGCAATGCAGGCTCGTCCTTGCTAAGTGGGAGGGAAAAATAGGTCTATTCCCTCGGCTCCAAAGTCACTAAAGGAGTGAAATACCTTCAACATCCCTGCGAAGCTTGGACACCCCCCAAAGACCGTATGAAGACTCAAAAGCCTTAAAGGTCCTCAGAGATCCAAAACCACGAAACTCAGTAAAGTTTACAAGCACGACACATTCTACGAAACTTGCAAACCCCTAAATCCTTAACTTCTTCGAACCCCGACAAACTCAAAGGCGCCAGGCATCTTTGAGCCTGTTAAACGCCCTGAAGCCCGAGATCACGTGCTCGAGGCTGGTAGCTTGCTGGGCCGAACGACCTCGGCACCCACCCTCACAGGCTCAGGGGNNTTCGGAGTTTAGGGTTTATAGGGCTTAAACGGAGCTTCAGAGGGTTAAGGGTCTCCTGGACCCCAAACCCCAGGTTTAGGATCGCAATGTTTTGCACTTATGAAGCTTTTGGGGTTGCAGGGCTTGAAAGTTTAGGGCTTAGGGTATTGGGCTCTACGGTTTTGAGTCGAGGCTGTCGAGCTATGATGCTTTAAGGTTTCAGTGCTTGGGTTTAGCTCCGCGAGGTATCAATCTGGAAGGCATAGCGGGTTGGGGGGGGGGGGGGGGCTGTTGATTCTGGGTAGTCGCAGGCTTCAGGATTTTAAGGCCTCTGGGCTTCGTGTTGTTCAGACTCCCAGACCTGGATATCAAAACGGGTTTAAGACAAATCTTCGGACCAAGGGGTTCTATGTTCTTTAGAACAGGTTTGGGGAATTTAAGGGAAATTTGAAGGCAAAGGGCTCTAGCTTTCAGGCGTTGCGTCGTGTCGTGTCTAAGTCACGAGGGCTAGGGCGGCTAGGGCATAGGATGCGGACTGCAGGGTCTAAGGAGTTGTGCTGCTGGCTGCAATCAGAGAGCCCAGTGCCGATACGAAGCACTCTTGCGCAACTCGAGCTCGCGTGCGAATCCCTACCTTGAACTCCCGAGAACCATGTTGCCAGCCCAA